ATAGATGCTTCATACAGCAATGGACTGGGTTTTTCTGTTGATGCAGGTCATCCATCTTCCCAAATGATGGTAGCTAGGTTGATGGCCTAGCCATGTCTATACCGTGGGTTAGGTCATACTAACTACGGCACTCAAGGGTATGAATTTTTCACACCCCAGAGTGCCATAGCTATGTCGACCTATGTGTAGACCCAGCCGGTGTGTTTTATCTTTTCATGTAGGAAGGGAGTGCTGTGCACCTAAGGAAAATATTAGCAAAGTCATCTGTTTCACAATCCATTTATCTACAGAATACACATGGAGGATTTCCCAGGTTAAGTGAAATGAGCAACCTAATTCCCCCCTAAACCCCAGTACAATTCAGTATCCCCCCAGGGTTTCTAAGCTTTCCAGTGAATCTCCTCTTCTGTGTGCCAGTTTTCAGACTACGCTTTTTGTCCCAGAGATGGTTGTCTTTTTAGTTCTGAAGCAGAATTAAACATTAAGTCAGTGCTTAATAAATACTAAATAAGAATATAAACTCAATAAAGCAGTCTGCTGCATAGAAGAAATCAGTGTCATTTATGGAAAAATACAGCAAAGACTGCGCAAACAGTGTGTGTTTTTCCGAGAAAGGACATTTTGCCTTCTGATTACAACACTTTGTTTCTTCAGTAGAGTAGCAGTTAATCCTATTTCAGTTGCACGGCGTAGTCATAATGTGGGGAGCTTTCAAACTTTATCTGTTGTGCTGGTCACATTCCTAGCTGTCAGGATGTGTGATTAGCATACCTTAGCCAGGATTCCCGGCCTCCTTTTTTGTCACCACTGACTCAAATTCTTCTGATGGCAAAGCAGTGAGGTTAATAACAATCTGGTGAAGGGCCACTTGAAATATTTTAGAAGTAATTCAGATCCAAGTAATAGGTGCCCCTACCACTGAGGCAGTGTTTTTATCTCAGATAGCATGTTACACAGCATTACTTCAATCAGCATACTGTTGGTAAGTCTCTGGAAATAGACCAAACGAGAAGTTCATACACTATTACTTCCACCTCCATCTTGCCTTAAGCTTTAAAATACCACTCTCTAAGCACAGTATTTCATCTGCTCATACCGGTTCTTTTGAGAGAAATATAATTTAAAATCAGAGATGGGATCAGACAAATTATCAGAAGAACGTTAGTTGTTATATATAGCGGTTATAGGGATAGATGCTCTGTAAATCAATATTAAAAAAATAATGGATCCAATTCTGCTCAAATTCTGCTCTCAATTTCTGCTCTCGTGTAACCCAAATGTCGCCCTAATAGTTTATACGCATATTAAATGTTATGGATTTCATGGTAAATTTTTCACAACATACATCCAACAATGTTTGGTTTACGAGGATATTAATTTATATTTTATGTTCACGCAAATATCTAATTTAAAAATGTTTCTAGCATTCAAGTTAGGATCCTGACATCTTAGCTATATGTTGGTTTATAACAGAATCTCTTGTGACTGAATGGGGAAGCACGTATGTCAATTAGACTGCAAATGAATATACAAAGAACAGGTCTTCTCAAATTTCAGTTTTCGTGGCAGAGTACGGTTCTGCACAGAGTGGGAGACACAAAGCTAATAGGACAGTTTTTCCATGAGTCTTTTCTGAAGCAAAATGTAGAGACACACTTGTAAAAATCATATTGATATAGTAAAGGAAAGTTGCTATATTTTTAGTAAGTATCAGAGGGGTAGCCGTGTTAGTCTGGATCTGTAAAAAACGACAAAGAGTCATGTGGCACCTTATAGCCTAACAGACGTATTGGAGCATAAGCTTTCGTGGGTGAATACCCACTTCATCAGATGCATGTAAGAGCATTTTTAGTAAGAGCATTTTGAGAGATTCACCTTGCAGCCTCAGCATTAGAAATCTGGCACTTTGTGACTTGTTTTCTAGGAGGAAATGGTCCTTAATCCAAAGAAACTGAGATTTTCCTCCTGGTTTTTACATTTAAGGCCACTTTGTAAACAAAATACAGTGAAATTAGATGCACACAAACTGTAGGAAAGGCATTTTCCTTTAAGGGTCATTCTGATTTTAATTAAATATCCACAGATTTGTATGGCATAATACAAAGCAAAAAATAATAATAATACATAGTTAACAATCATCTAGGTCTTCTAGCATAAACCACCTAAATACAAACACTTTAGAAAAATGACAGTTCACACATTATTACATGTAGGTATGTTTTGGAGGGCCCACTGCAAAAGAAGAAAACTGAGATTGATTATAATCCCCCTCATATGGTGGCTCCAAAATTCACTTTAACAGTAGCATGCTCTATTTTTGATTGCCAGTAAGTATGGAAATACAAAAGAAAAGGTGTCTGCATTTTTAAAGCAATCTTGCCTGTATATTTCTCCCGCTATCAAGTCAATATTAACTTAAAGCAACCATTCTTGTATTAACTTTTCTTTTTTCCTAGCCAGGAAGGTGAAATAGAGGAGTGCTGCTTTTAAGAACGTTTAACACTTAGGAATATTGTTTTTCTCTACCAACATGTAGACACATCGGTAAGCAAAGAGTCTTTGGAAAAAGTAGATGGAAAAAATTGCCATGAGGTATGCTCTAAACGGACACTCGGATTTACACAGGACTGATTAGATCACAGACTCTGTCCATTTCGTTTCCTGTGTCTTGTGGGACCAAAACAAAAACTATTGGACAGTCCTGAATTTGGACACATTCTAACAATGCCAGCACACAGTAGTTTGATGGCATACCCCTGTTGACTGCTGCTTAACCCTGGAAAAAATATCTGCAGTTCAGAAGGATTGATCCTGTCTAGCTCATTCTACTGATTTCGTTGGGTTGTCAGTAAAATATAGCGGAACAACAAGGAGATTGGAGAGAAATCACTGAAGCTCTTAGACAAACATACAAAAAAGTTTCCTTCACTATGGCCCACGTCCAAAGTTTACTGAAGTCAAAGGGAACATTCCCATTGACTTTAATGGACTTTGGAACAGGCCTTTAGGGAGTATGCATGAATATATTCAAAATTGAATTAGGATGTTTTAAACTCTGCCCTTTAACTATCTCGATATAAAGACCAGAATCTGATTTTTTTTAGTTCCTGGTTTTCTATGACCTGGATGGTAGAATTCAACCACTAGTAGGTGTGAGTGGAATACCTTGTTGTTATTGTTGGAGCTGGTGTCACAGATGTAAGATAAACTTTTCCTCTATCAAGAATGTTGCTCTGGATGGACTCAATATTTGAACTAAATCACATAAGTGGTGGAGTCCAGGAGTTGCCTCACCCAGGAAAATGTTTGATAACACCTGTTATTTGATATCATACAGAGCATTCATAAGCCCAAATAACTACTCTTCAGAGGAATAAGGCAGGAATAAGACCAGGTCTACATTAGACCAGGTCTACACTAGAAACTTTTCTGTTATAGTAATTGTGATATTTTTACATTTTTATACCAGCAAAAGCCCTAAAGAAGATCCAGTTATACCGCCAATTGCTGCTTCTGCTGGTCTTGCTGATTTTTGGTTGGGGAACTGATTAAAACCTGCAGCAACACTAGAGTTTTTTGCTAGTAAAACGATACCAACTTAGCTATCCCATTAAACTCTTTCTAGTATAGACAAGGTATTAACGTCATCACTGTCAGGCCTCTTTAATGGCAAGGAAATCTCGTGCCCTACCTCCAATACTCTTTCCAGTTGGTATTCTGTATAGCAGCATCACATCCAGGCGTAACCTTTTTGAACGGCAGACCCATTTTGCCTTGGAAAGTAATATTGTTATTAACATGGATGTATTTCTCCAGCATAGAGTAATAGTGGAGCTTCAGTGAGATGCGTGGAAATAAACCCACCAAAGGCTTCTAATGACATCATTAACCTCGACAGTGGACCTTGACTGATGTCACCAGCTTTCTGACATGGCATTATGTGGTACTGTGTGACAATTTGTGCATTTCTAGCAGATCCCTGCACATCTTAGTTCTGCGGTGAGGCCCAGGTATGTTAAATGCCTTCAACTACCTAACGAGTACAGCTGTCCAGTATGACGGCACTTCGTGAAGTGTTATTACTGTCATAAAGCGTATTTTGTTGTACTTTTTAAACAACTGGTTGAGGACTCCAGGCCTATGCGATTATACCAGATCCCTGCGCTCTCTGAAACTTTGTCCACCATTCTGATTCTCTCTTTTGGCAGGCCAAATTCAACCCTCTTTGAAATTCACTGAGTCTTTCTATTGTCTTCATTGAGAGAATCCAGCTCTTTTTAAAATGAGTGCAGCCATTTTGCATTGAGTATTTTTACAGTCTAGGGATCTTCTATTATATTCATGTATAAAAACATTTTAAAATCGCACAAGGCAGTCAATACCAGTCTTAGATATGTGGCTGCATATCTTGTTAAAGGGATACCGCCCACCTGAACGGCACATTTCCATCTCAAACTTTTGTAGCTACTATGGTTACAAGTAATACCTAAAATCCCCACAACTGAAAGAAGTGATTGATACTTTTTTGTCTCTTTTTAAAATTTACTTTGTGCATTTGACAGGACTGTGTGTATCATCTGTTTCACTTTTTCGCCTGTATAGTCAGTTTTTTTCATATTGAAAAGATCCTTATAAAGACAACAGCTGGGAAGCAGCAAATCTCTCAACACATTTAAAAAAAAATTTAGGATATCCTGTTTAAAGAGTGCTCTACCAGAAAGTGTAATTTTTAAAAAAATTAGCTCATTTTACGAAATTCAAGTTGACGTTCTCCATTTCAATGAATTACCTTCCCTGTATGTGCAAATGAAATAGATGATGTACATTTTAATATCCTGAAACCTCAACCCCAATTGTGAAGGACCTACCTACTAATACTTCAATCTCCAGGTCCATCCTTTCTGTGGTTTCTCTGCTAACGCTGCAAATGATGGTGTTTAAAAAAGTTCACCTATTGTGGTTACTATTCACAATCAACGTTTTAGTTCTCAAGGTCCCAAGATTTTTTTTTTTTTTACCCCAGCAGCATGTGTGCCAGAACAGTGTTAGTCCACTGACTGGGATGTTGTGAACATTTTTGCTGAAGTGTTGAGTTACTACAGATGTGGTATCAAGTATCAGGGGTAGCCGTGATAGAGGTTTCTGGGGTTGGATTTCAAACATCTCTTTAATGTTCTACCAAACTGCCCATGATATGACTTTACAACTCCCTTCCACCTTTCAATATCATAAGTTTATTGCATTCTTGACTTCCATTGAAATGCAGGAAAGTGTTCTCAGAATGAAAGCGAAAGTCTAGGCCCGTGAATTTCTGATGGCAATGGGGAATTCACATGTTCTGTGCTACAATAAGAGCTGTAACGATTTATTCTGAGTGTGTTCCAAAGTTCTTTGATGTCGGGGGAGTTTTTCTATGCACTCCAATGGGATTTGGATCAGTCTGTTTGTGGACCAGATTAACCCTCACACATTCTGACTACTGCTTCTTGCCTTGAAACTGAGTGACTGCCGAGTTTTTGGAATGTTTAGTGCAAAATGTTCTTTTTTTGTCTTATTTAGTGTAAAACTCAAACGCCAAAAAAATTGAAGTGCTGCTTTCTTTTGCGTGTAGCACAGAAATCCTACCTCTACAGCCAGCAATTGGCCAAGAGTGAAATTTCCAGGAAGCCAGGTGGCTTCACGAATGCTTGGCAAATGAACTGTTACTTCTTTTTAACATGCCTGCAAGAGAAAACATCTAGTTCTGCTTCTGTGGTTCAGGATATCACTGCAGTTCTCCTCTCCTTCCATGCATATGTCTGTTCAGTAAATAAATCCATGATTGAAGAGTCATGCATCCCACTGAAAACCTTCTGCCCACAATATAGGAGAAACATGCAGAACATGAGAAGATAAGAACATTGGCAAGTATAGGGTGAGCTAGCATACTCTCTGCTCCTCCGCCATGGTTAATGATCGGAAAGAATAAAAAGCAACGCTCTGCATTTTACAGAAAGCCGATTCCTCTGTTCAGAAAATCTTGCTTTGCCAGTATTGCCCTCCTGTGGGGTTTTACAGCAGAGGGAAGTGGTATTAATTTCAAATGGTAACGAACCGCCGGACGGTTGGGGCTCTGTACCCAAGATCCACCAGGGACACCAGTTATAAAATGTCTCTTGACCACTGAGATTCTCAGATAATTCTTCAGCTGCAGAACTCAGCCATCAGGGGGTTTACCTTGTGCATGTGTAAGATTGTTTGCATAGGCTGACCCTGGGCTAAGCCAGGGGTTTACAAATCACGTTGCCCGATTTCTGCTTGTTCAAATGCTTCTCTCCTCTGCTGAAAAATCCTCACGAGCCCCCAAGCCACGTGTTAAAGTCCTGATGCCATGTCTGCATCGCTTCAGAGCTGAGCACCTGCAGGTCCATACAATTCCCCGTCTTCATATTTGCAAGATTCCCAACCTGGGTTTGTGCTGGTCACACTGCAATCCGCCCTTCGCTCAGACAAGACTCTCACCACCCAGGAAGAGAATGGAGGAACATTTAGTGGCTTGTTTTTGCCATAGGAGGTATAAAGAGTGGATGATTGTCCAGTGTCATCATCTATATAAAGAAGAGGTGTGAAAAACTTCCCAGTCCATAAGGTTCCTTCATAAGAATAGGTCTTCCTTTGCGCCATACTGTGAGAAAATGCTTAGAGAAGGATTCTGGCTAAGGTGGCATCCGAGATAGAGGATCCTTCTTTCAGAGTATAGTCTTTTATCTGTGAGAGCCTTATGAAGAGGGACAGAACAAATTAAACATCATCGCACTCACTCATAGATAAGTTTCACCATGAGCTAGCTAGCAAGCTGAACCAGCAAGGATGTAGGAGGTGCGGGAGCCAGAGATGGGGGAAATGTGTTGGCCAAAGGCTTGGTGGACACTCAATGTCTACTGGAAGAAACATACACCGTCTCTGTAAGGGAGGAAAACTCGCTCTTCCCAGTTCCTGCGTCAGTTAACGTAGGGCCATCGGAATCGCTATGTGGAGGAAACATGATGTGCAATTGAAAGCAAAAGAGCACAGTGCTGGCCAGCAGCAAGTTGGAGAAGCGGTTTATACATTAAAAAAAATAGAGCTCTTCTTTTGGGCTGGTGGCTGTGATGGACTATGGAGTGATGATTACGTGCTAAGAGGAAATAGTGTATACGTTTGCACTATTTATCTCTTGCCACAAGCCATCGTAGAAACAGGAGCCCTAGAAAGTGCTATTATTGGATTATTCTTTCCTTAAATAAAATGTTTCCAGAAGCTTTAAAGGACTTTGCATCTCTGAGAGGGGGGAGGCAGGTTCCTTGATCTTACAGGAGTTGGAATGAGACGATGACTAGATCTTGTACCAGGAAGGGCATTTACAGTGGGTGGCTGCCGGGCGGCATCATTCTCCGGTTCCATTCATTCCTCGTTATTTCTATTCATGACATGCTAGGAGGGGAGAGAAAGACAGGGACATTTTTAGAGGGCAAATGGTAAGAAATCTTATGCCTTGAAAGCCAAATAGCTAAGCATCCCAAAGAATATGGATATGTGGGAGTTTAATCCTCCATAAAATTCTGCAAGCCAAATACATGTCGGGCCACCTCATGAAGGCATTCCTTTTCCAAAACTCCTATCAGGGCCGGCTCCAGGCACCAGCCAACCAAGCACGTGCTTGGGGCGGCACTTGGTAAAGGGCGGGCAATCTTGGGGTGATGGGGGGCAGCACGGCGTGGCGCTCGGCGGGGGGGTGGGGTTCCGGCGGTGCAGTGCTCGGCGGGGGGTGTTTGGCGGTGCTCTGCGCGCGCGGGGGGTGTGTGTGTGTGTTTCGGCAGTGCAGCGCTCCGTGCGGGGTGTTTGACAGCGCGGCGCTCGGCGGGGGGTGTTTGGCGGCGCTCCACGGGGGGCGGGGATTTCGGCAGCGCGGCGCTCCGCGAGGGTTTCGGTGGCGCTCCGTGTGGG